AATATATTTGCGTAAATGGGATCAGAGGTTTCCGTGACTGAGCTTACTCAATAGATGGTGATATTGATTCGGATTTAGTGAAGGGTCTGCAAAGCGCTCGACATAGCAATTCTTCGTGAATTTCTTCCTCAATATAAATTGGACACTTTGGCAATAGTAGTATGTATTACTGGGTAACGCTGAGTTCAGTTGTATAGGACCCTGGGTTTTTGCAGGATGATTGAACAACCAGGCTTAGGTCGAAGTCAGAGCTCATGACATGAAAGCATCTGTGTACAGTATTGTTACTTAATGGAATTCTTTTTTTACGTACAAATGGAGATTTGTGCAAACAGTTTTTAAAAACCTCTTCAACAGCGGGTAAAATTAATTGTTCTCCGATAGTGTGCGTTTTTCCAGATTTTTGCTATAAGTAATGAGATATTGTGCAAGATGCCCGCAAGCCATCATCGTTACTTTGAGATGTCTGAATTGAACATACTGTGCATGGTGCCCACCTCTTTCCATATTTTTCTTATCTGAATGGTTTGAAAGATCGCCATCAATTCTTTACGTATTATATGCCAACTCAATTCCTTTTGACGATCAATGAGCTTTCAGGGTTTCCTAGAGTATTTGGGCTCCAAAACTTGGTTTGAATAATCGGCACATGGGCAATTGTTTGTCATTCTGATGGAAAAATACCATATTTCAAATTGTGGAGATGACTCAGCCGACATTTTTTCTTTGCTAAAGCCATGTTTCGTGTCAGTTACCTTACCTGTAAAAAAATGTTTTAGTAAATCAAGTTTTTTCTGAATATAGGTATCACACCGCAGCCTTTGTCAGCACGCGGAAATAGAATTACGGCTTGTAAAGGACCAACTAATAAACCGCTGAGACAAAATACAGACGTTTTCACAAACGGTATCAATTTTAAAGTACATAATTTACCACTAATTTTTAATAGTATAAATAAAAATTGGTGTACTCAGTATCGAATACTGATCATATTTGTGTAGGAAAAAAATAAAAGTCTAGCTTTACCAAATAATCCATGGTTGAAGAAACTAACATTTTATTAAATCAATGATTTAACAGACGCTCCGTTCTTTGCGTATTTTTGACTGCGGTTGAGTTGTTTTAAATTGAAAACTGGCATCGAAGTCAAGCCGTCGCTCTTCCCGTCGCCCGCGCACCGCTCGCTCTTTCCGAAAAGGAATAGTTTTTGATAAAATAGTTACTTCAAAACCAATTTAAAATGATTATGAAATTACTGTTTTATAAAATTAGTAGTTTATTTGCAAGAAAAATTACAAAATTAATTGCTCTGCAATATTGCTTATTCGGCCTTTTTAGAGAGGCAGTGTTTCTCTCGTGAAAAAAAACAATTGAATAAAACGTGCTGTGTTTGTCTTCAAATCGAAAAGAGGACAATTAAAATATCTGTAAGTTACTAAGTTACCTATCTATACAGGCCGTTGTGATCAACCGACTAGTACTAATACTTTTGGGAGCCCCAGCCTTTTCCCCATTTCTGTAAGCAAAATTTGATAGTTGGCCCCTCGAAACCTTTGATCTCTGAGTCATTGATTTTTAAATTTATTTTTCCTGATGCCTCGGACTTAATACTCATCCCGGGGCGAAAAATTAGCTTCTCTGCGAGTTTTGCCTCTGATAGTCTTCCTGAACCCATAGCCGAAGACGTTTTCTGGGTGTACTTGCCTTTGGCATGAAGAGCTTCCTTTTAGTGGTGATCAAGTTCTGTGCCATGAGACAAGCGGGTCGCATTGTCGGGCGAGTGATAGCGCTTTGCAAGTCTGTACACGAAATTGGGCTGATTACGCATGAGTTCAGTAAGTAACTGGTCAGTAACAGGTGTGTGCCGGATTAAAAGGGATTGCTTAGAGTAGTGTGACAAAACAATCCGAACGTAGGCCCTTATAAAAGCTTTATGCTTACATTCGATGATTTTTACTATCTGAAAGCAGATAAATTTTCGTGGACCCCCATTAACATCTTATGGACCCCCATTTTTTGTTCACGCCTACGTAGACCCCCAGCAAGTCTCCCGTGGACCCCTGGGGGTCCACCTGGACCACTTTGGGAATCACTGCTCTACACCCTAGAATCAACCTGTATGCCAAAATTGAGCTTCTTACGTTGAGTGGTTTGAGTAGGATCGTGATTAATCAGTGAGTCAGGAGTCAGTCACTTAAGGATTTTATATAATAGTAGACTTTGACTAATGTCATATTTTTTGCTGCTGTTAAAGTGTCACAATTTCCGATAACAACTATTATCTCTGCTATTATTACTCTTTCCGTAGCATTGAACTAAATAAATTTTGTTCTTCTATATCATTTTAAAACAGCAAAAATATGAATGAAATTTAAAAATTCAACCATATTTTCATGTTTTTTAATTTTTCTCTAAAACGCCTAAAACAATATGGAAATTTGGAAAAGTATAAACGGGATTAACCATTTTATATTATAGAAGAAGCAAAAACTTTATGAAGAATGCATTTTTGCCCAAATGTCAATAATAAAGGAGTTTGTCCTCTTGTAAAGACAACCGGGTACTATAATTTAGAATAAAAAAATATTGTAATAAATCTATTGCAATCCTAAAAAAAAATCGAAATAAAGGCTTCGACCTCTATTATTTCGTGAGTTCTGGCAAATTTGGCTTCTGGTTTCTAACCTAGTATACAGGGTGTCTCTTAAAAGTGGCTCACCCCTATAACTTTATTAATTTTTCAGATAAAAAAACGATCGAGGGTTGTCTCACTATTTTCTGTGGTGTATTTTCTCAATTAGTGGTAACTCACTATTGGAATTATCTGTACATTTTCTTGGCAGTCGCTGGCAGCCATTGGCAGTCTTATGGCAGTCACCTATAATAATTACATGGCAGTCAGAGGCAGTCTTCTTCATAGTCATTGGCAGTCGCTTAGCAGTGGAAGGATATTTTGGCAGTACGTGTACATTTTTTGACGGAGTGAGACACCCCTCGAAAACGATATATTTGGTATGTTAATATATACAGGATGTCCCAGAAATAAGTGCAAGTATTTTAAGGGGTGGTAGATCTCGATAAAAGAAACATATTTTCTCTTTATTGTTTTTAAAATAAGTCCAAAATAACGGAGTTTTTTTACTTTGAGAATTTCCAAAAAAAAATATTTTTTGCTAAAATTTTGAGAACCACTGGATATTTTCTGGATTTTTTTCATGTAAATTGATTTAGAAAAAAAATAAATAGAAATTATGTTTTTTAAATAAAAACTAAAAAAATTTCAAAATTTTTTTCAAAAAATTCCGAATTTTCAATTTTTTTTTGGCGAAAAAAAACTTCATAGGCGTGTTTCTATGGTTGAACTATACTACCAGTAAAAATACTTATTTCTGGGACAGGCACTTATTTCTGGGACACCCTGTATAATTATATACAAGGTATTACTTTTAAATACCGTGTATGATCGAATAAAAACGGCGTCAGTGATGGCTATGAAATGAAGATCGCTGTCATTTTATACGTAAAATTATATGGGAAATGTCATCGATCGTCATTCCATAGCCATCGCTCATCGCTGACGTCGTATTTAATCGATCATACGGTATTTTTATACCATTTGGGACATTAAAAATTGTTTAAAATAGTATATAGTTTTATTAGGAGTAAAAATGACACTTTTTTTGGTTGACACAGCCGAGGCACAAAATGTCAAGGAAGTTCTATTCGGAGTAAAAATGACTTTTTGTGTCTCACCTGTATGTCAAACGTACAGCCTCGACACAAAAAGTATCATTTTTACTCCTAATAAAACAATATACTGGGTGGCCCATCGAAAACGTTCCGCAAGGCATAACGGCCAGGGTAATTTTTTTTTCAGAAAATCCAAAAACACGTCAATTTTGTTTGTGAGTGGGACAACTTTTGCCTCAAAAATGATTGCAAAATCTTCAACCCTCTAAGCGGGGGTGTCATCCCCCAACTTTTTTCAAATGGGAAGGGGGGTCAAGTGGCATCGCAATGAAAAGAGCTTTCTATTCTCTATATTCCCCCGCTTCGTTTTTGATAAGAAAAAAAAGCAAATTGGTCGAAGGAATTTATCCTTATCATTTACTCTGATAAATGTTTAAATAAACTTTTCAAATTTCAATCCTTCTAATTTTCTCAATGACTTGATCGATTTTCAAAAACGAAGCGGGGAAATATAGAGAATAGAAAGCTCTTTTCATTGCGGCGCCACTTGACTGCCCTTCCCATTTGAGAAAAGTTGGGGGATGACACCCCCGCTTAGAGGGTTGAAGATTTTGCAATCATTTTTGGGGCAAAAGTTGTCCCTCTCACAAACAAAATTGACGTGTTTTTGGTTTGTTTGAAAAAAAAATATCCTGGCCGTTATGTCTTGCGGAACGTTTTCGATGGGCCACCCTGTACAATTTTCCTCTTGTACAGACAATCCGGGGACATAATTAAGAGTAAATATTGTATAAATTTAATGCAATCGTAATAAAAATTCGAAATAAAGGCTTTGACCTCTAATATCTTCTGTATTCTGGCAAATTTGGTCTCTGGTTTCTAACCTAAACCTAGTATACCGGGTGTCCCTTAAAAGTGGCTCACCCCTATCACTTTATTAATTTTTCAGATAAAAACGAGGTTTGGTATGTTAGTATATGGCATCAATCTTTTAGCTGGCCAGGGCACGAAAAACATTAGACGATCAAATATATTTTTCCAATGCTCCTGATTAAGAAATTGTGCTTTTAACACAGGCTAGGTACTCTAGATTGAAATTTAAATTACATTTTTTTAAGCGGAAATTTCAAAAGTTGACATGTGATATTTCATTCTATTCAGTAACTAAATAACACAGTAAAATACCAACATACAAAATGTGTTTTTTTTTTCCTAAAAAAATAAAAAAGGTATATTAATTTGAATTTTCTGCTTTTTTTGAATGCCGTCTGTCGATATCTTCTCTGATAGTACTTTAATTTAACACTCACTTGACTATTTCTGGTGTACCCATAGCCTACAAATCTTTCGTCGTGTGGCGGAACTGTATCGATTGCAATATAGAAAGGCTCATAAAGAAATTCAAAATTGGTGACACGATGACTTATTCTAATTTTTTCATCTGGGTCCTTGTAACTTTGCCACCTGAAACGAATAATAACATAGAGTTAAAAGCTCCCCATACCCGGAAAGGCCCGGCCTGCGGGTCCGGCCTTCGGACCCAAACCTAACCTCTGGATGAAATCTTTGCGTTTGTGGGCAAGATCATGCCTTTAGCGGACTAAGCCTGCCAGAGGCCAAGTTCGCAGCAGCAAATATGCAGACAATTGTAAGACAAGGTTAAGACACATCAGTTTGTTAATACCATAATATGGTATTTAAAAAATGATCTCATATACACAATACAGGAATACAGCTATATTACTTGAATATAATGTTTACACATCTTGGTTAAATGTTAGGAAAGACAGATTATTATTTAACGGCCTATTTAGTATATTAATTCTATACATAAAAAATATATTGCCCCATTCTGAAATATAAATATTGGATATTAAAGATAAATATTGGGACAATATTGTTACGTTTTTCGTCGGTTCCGTGTGGATAGAAAGTCACAATTTATTTAAACACTATTTATTTAACACTAATTAACAAAAACAATAACGATAAAAGACTTAAAAAAAAAGTTTACCTTGTAAAGTTGGTAGCGTATTGGTTATAAATAAATACTTTATGGTGAAAAGGCCTGGCTAGGCCCTTGTTGGCCATTCGGATCAAATCAGTCTTATTTGGCGGAAACAATACTCTTTCGTCCAATTCATAAGTTGGCACTACGTAGGCGCACTTGCCATCACATTTCTGGGTGTCTGAAAATAACAAAAATTATATACTGAGATGTGCAAAGTACCAATTTATAGATATTAAGATTAATCGTCTTAAGTAGCCGATGAAATAGCAAGAACATCTTCCATATTGATATCAGTAAAACGTACATTCTTAGAACATAACAAAAAAAGTGGACAAAGAACGCTGTAATAAGTTTTAAGCTTCATTACAAATAGAGTATTGTATAGCTGGATGAAACAGGCTCCAGTATAATATGTGATGTTAATATAAATGTAAATAATCGAGAGACCGTTGACCGTTTTTATTTGTGATTTTCTTTCACGGAGAAAGATTTTGTATCAGAGCTGAGTTAATTCTGGATTCGTGAAATACTTCCCATAAATTTACTATTGACATTGTATCATATGATTTTTGTAGATCGATGAATGTTATATGAACTCCTTGGTTCATTGCAGGTTTCTTCTCGATGATCTGTTTCAATGCAAAGATATTAAATACATGATCTTCCGCCTCTGAAACTATTCTAATCTTCTTCTTCGTATCTTGTGTATTCCTGTTCAATTAGATTCATCAGTATCCTTCCATAGAGCCGACTCATAGTGCTGGTGACCGAAGTTCGCCGGTAGTTATTGGGATCCTTCTTTGAGCACTTTTTCTACATAAAGGAGATATATGCTTTTTTCCACTCTTCAGATACTGGATGGCCATTTAAGCATTGGTTGACTATGTTTGTTAACATTCTAAACAGTTTTTCGCTTTCGGATTTAATGAGTTCCGTATACTTCCTCTGGGCCACATGCTCTTCCATACTTTAGAGACATTATAATCTGTATAATACAGTACACAAATGTCAATATGTTTTAGTATAGGCTTCATGTAGAATGAGGAACAATCTTTTCATTCACTATATGTGATTGTACACTGTGATCTTAATTTTAATTAAATTTTATAATGTTATGAATTCAATGTAGGCAGTGTAATTTTTTTTGTAACTGTAATAAGATAAATGTGTAATTATGCGATTCCATAGTCTCATTGTGTTTTACCAGATTACTGCTTATTCTTGTAATAATGATAATAATAATAAAGCTCTATTGCCTCCAAAAAGGAGGCAATAGAGAAAGAGGGACATATCCTCTATTATAGATACGGGACAACACCGGTATCAGGTCTAAGGAGAGACCAAGTTAAAGAGGTGGAGAAACTGGAGACAGATCCTCCAGCCTTCACCCCACGGGTTCCTCCGCCGGAGGCAAGCTCCTCGACTGTGAAGGGCGGCAGGGTGGCGCACCTCATTCGTCTCGGTTGATTATATGCATATGTGGGGAGGCAATGTGCACAATTTAAAATTATTTTGAAATATACAGGGTGTCTCAGAACTAAGATGCATACCAAAGTTTTATTTTTTCTTATGGAACACCCGGCATTTTATTTAATTTTTGGATTCTTGGGCCAAAAAAAGGCATTTATTATAGGGGTTAAATATGTTTAAATTCTTTAGTTTTTGAGATATTTAAAGATATTTAAATATGCATGCTACAAAAGAATGGATTATTAACACCCTGTACATTACTTTTCAGAATTAATTCTTGTGCTGAGTTTAAAGGTAAAGAAATAAACTTTACTGAAAAATATTACTGCTTGCTTAAATTTATACAGGGGTACCAAAAATTGGTGATCTATTTTAAGGATTTATTTTACATAAAAACTTTGTTATTTCAAATGAAACGCCTTGTATTTTTTTAAATAAATCGAAGCAGATTCAAATGCTCTTTTAAACTATATGGTTTCCTATACCTATCTATCTCAGATAGATAGGTATATATACCCGATTCTAATCTCCTATGCCTCAACCTATCAAAAACTAAAGTTTTGTCATATAAAAGTACTATACAACCTTTTGTACTTAATAACACTACTATTGACGTCGTGGACTCTGTGAAATTCTTAGGACATCTTGTCTTCTTTCTTAAAACGCTCTTTTAAACTATATGGTTTCCTATACCTATCTATCTCAGATAGATAGGTATATAATACTCGATTCTAATCTCCTATGCCTCAACCTATCAAAAACTAAAGTTTTGTCATATAAAAGTACTATACAACCTTTTGTACTTAATAACACTACTATTGACGTCGTGGACTCTGTGAAATTCTTAGGACATCTTGTAGACAACTCGTTAAAATGAGACTTTCACATTGAAGCTCTATCAAAGAAACTAAGCGCTGCCTGTTTTGCGCTAAGATCAGTTTCTAAGGAACTTAACTTCTCAACCTCTAGAATAGCCTATTATGCCCTTTTTGAGTCACATCTTCGTTATGCCCTTCCATTCTGGGGTACTTGCTGCGCAACAAGAATTTGATCGTGTTTTCATACTTCAAAAGAGAGCACTTCGATATTTATTGAGACTGAACAGTAGAACTCACTGCCAGAATTTCTTTAAAAATTTGAAAATACTGACTCTTCCTTCTTTATTCATTTTTGAATCCGTTTGCTTAATCCGCAAGCACATATCTGCTATTCCCGAAAGGCCATCTCATAACTATCCACTTAGAATGCAGAGCACGATCTTTATCTGCCAACCCCGAGCTCAGAACTAGTTAAAGGTTCAATACTGTACAATGCCAAAAAAATGTACAATCATCTGCCTTTGGATATCAAGTCGCTTTCATTCTTTCCCGCATTTCGCAAAGCTCTAAAATCATGCTTACTGGAGAGAGCCCTATATGCTGTAAACGACATTTTTGTTGATGTTTAATTATGAACAATTTTGAATTTTAAAATTTTGATCATCTCACACACTGGTCAAAGGTCAAGTATTTAATATTTTATAACTCTAAAATCATATCTATTTACTGTGTACTGCTAAAATTGTCCATGTATATTCTTTTTGCAATTTTAAAGACTTAAATTTTTTTGAATTGTATTATTTGTATTGTGTATTTTTTGTTGTTTGTATTTTTTTGTGATTTTGTTGTTTGTGAGTGCTTTGTCGATGAAGCTGTTTTGGCTTTTTGCACAATAAAGCGTTTGTTTGTTTATTAATATGTATTTATTATTCTATCAAGAAAAACGAAGAAGTAGTTCTTTGTTTTATTTTACGATAACTTGTAGATATATGAATTTTTTTACAAAAGAGCCATTTACGGCAAATTCAATTTCTTCACTTCTAATGACAGGTTTCTGCCTAATAGGTTTTTTATAAACTACACTACCAATTCTGCGAAATAGGAAAGAGGACAAGTAATTTTTCAAAAGAAAGCTTATCAGGAAGATTCCTATTTGGAATCGCTCTTGAGGCCAAGAAATAATTTTCCTCACAAAACAAAATCACTAGTAACTAGTAACATATCCATTCGCTCCACCAGCAGATTACATATGGCTTTATTTTTCTTCATAAAATAAAGAATACTTACTTATTAAAATATTGTGGGTAAATTTTAGTAAACTGTTTAAATAATAATGTCCATACACTAATGTCGATTTTGAAAATAGTTACTGACTGTCACTAGAAAATTGCCATGGCGATACCAGCCATCTTGATGGCCATTTTATTTAAAAATCGCTATTTATTTAAAATCTGAGATAGATAGGTATAGGAAACCCTAATATAGTTTGAAAGAGCATTTGAATCTGCTTCAATTTATTTAAAAAATACAGGGTGTTGCATTTGAAAGAACAAAGTTTTTATGTAAAATAAATCCGTAAAATATTAGATTTTAGGATAAATAAAACACCAAAACGACCTATTTTGTACTCGATACAACACACACCATCTTTTATTTCAGACTATTTTTTATTACCCATAATTCCCATACACAGTTCCCATATGACATTCTCATCTACTTCCGCTAGAGGTGCCGGTAAATTTAAATTTTGATACAATATTCCAACACCCCACTTATCAAAAATATAAAAATAACTAACCTTTTTCTAAACCTAACCCCTTTACAAAATACATATGTTTTGTACCTCCAACACTTTTTGTTAATATATCAGCTATCATATTTTCTGTTTCTAAATATTTTAACTGAATAGTGTTTTTATCAACTGTTTCTCTTATAAAATGATACCTGATATCTATATGTTTAGAGCGTTCATGAAAAATTGGATTCATTGATAACTTAATGGCACTCTGATTATCATTAAAAATTGTTACACTATCCAATTTATCAGTCAGCTCGTAAACTAAATTGCGTAAATATATGGCCTCTTTAGAAGCATCACTGAGTGCCATATATTCTGCCTCCGTGCTGGATAAGGCTACAGTTTTCTGCTTCGAACTTTTCCATGATATGGGGCCACCTGAAAGCTTAAAAATATATCCAGTATAAGACTTTCTATCAGCTTTATCTGATCCCCAATCAGCATCAACATATCCTAGCAAATTTATATCATCCTTAGTAAATTTAATTACATAATTTTTTGTTCCTTTCAAATATCTCAGTACTCTTTTTGCACATTTCCAATGATAACTGTTATTACAATTGTTAAATTTACTAAGAAAACTAACACTAAACGATATGTCTGGACGTGTTAATACTGCTAAATACATTAAACTACCTATTAGTTTTTGATATTGACAATTATTAACATTTGTATCACAATTATTTTCATTAAAATCAAAACTTTCCATTGGAGTAGTAACACTTTTACAATCTAGCATATTAAATCTTTTAAGAACCTGATTAACATAATTTTCTTGACTTAACATTAAACAATCCTTTTTTTTACAAATAGTCATACCCAAAAATTGTTTAACTTGACCCAAATCTTTAATTTTAAATTCAGAACTTAAACATTCTTTTAAAATTTTACTGTTTTTACAATCATTAGAAAAAATTAAAAAATCGTCAACATAAAGAGCAATTATTGTCAAGAGATTGTTATCCTTTTTTGTATAAATACAGGGTTCAAATATTGACCTTTTAAAATTTAATTTTAATAAAACTTCATTAACCCTAAGATTCCAAGCTCTTGATGATTGCTTCAAACCATATATGGCTCTATTCAGTTTACACACTTTACTCTCATTACCCTTAGTTACAAAACATTCTGGTTGTTCCATGTAGACTATTTCCTGTAAATAACCATTCAAAAAAGCTGTTTTTACATCTAAATGTGTTATTTCTAAGTCTAACTTTAAAGACAATGCAAATAATAACCTTAAACTAGAATGTCTCACTACAGGAGAAAAAGTTTCATTGTAGTCCACCCCTGGTTTCTGAGAAAAACCTTTAGCTACCAAACGAGCTCTATATCTAACATCACCTTCACTATCACACTTCTTTTTGAACACCCACTTACACTTCACTATTGTGGCGTCCTTTGGCTTGTCCACAATTTCCCAAGCGTTGTTTTCTTCAAAAGAAGCTAGTTCCTCTTCAATAGCTCGCTTCCATTCTGCATGATCTGGCCTCGACATGGCTTCTAGAACACTCACAGGAGTATCATCTGTCACTAGAACTTCTTCGGGAACAATACTTTCATTTTGCTCAGCAGTAGTTAGATACGTAACATAATCAGTGAACTGCTTTTCTCGCCTTGGCCTCTGAGATCGTCTTGCTGCTTCTGGATCAGACAAAGTCGTGTCTGGCACATCTGGTTCATAGTCACTGTCTGTAGAGTCCATATGAACTGAAGATTGTTCTTCTGACTGTTGATATAGACTGTCAAGTGAACTATGTAAGCTGTTTTCACTAACCTGTGTATTTTGCTTATTTTCCCCCACTTCAACTGACTCCTCTGTTACTTCACTGCCATAGCTAACATTCATTTTATTGGTTTTCAGGTTTTCATGTATAATAACATCTCTGCTTGTTGTTACATCATCAGTGTCTGGGTTGTAGATCCTATAACCCTTGATATGATCTGAAAAACCAACTAAAATATGTTTACAAGCTTTTTTGTCAAATTTAAGACGCTTCTCTTTAGGAATATGAGCCATTACTGTACTGCCAAAGATTCTTAGACCTGAAACATCCGGTTTCTTCCCTGTCCACTTCTCAAAGGGTGTTTTTCCATTTAGTCCACTGGCTATGCATCTATTCCGTAGATAGTTAGCGGTATTTACTGCCTCTGCCCAAAATCTTTTTGGTAGACCTGCATCATACAGTAAACATCTTGCTTTTTCAACCAATGTTCGATTGTGTCTTTCTGAAAGTCCATTTTGTTCAGGAGTATAAGCGTTCGTCTTCTGGTGTATAATACCTTCTTCCTGAAAAAATCTCTCGAACTTATTGCTACAGAACTCACCACCTTGGTCACTGCGGAATATCTTGATGTTTCTGCCTTGTTGTTTTTCGACCATTGTTTTAAATTCCTGGAAATACTTGAACACCTCATCCTTTGTCTTCAAAAAATAGACAAATGACATTCTTGTAAAGTCATCGACTAAAAGTAAAAAATATTTTGAGCCACCAATAGAAATCGTCTCCATAGGTCCACAAACATCTCCATGTATAACTTCAAGCACTTGGTTGCTTCGTGTTCCTGTGGTTGGGAAAGGTAGCCTGGTTTGTTTGCCTTCACAACATACCACACAATTTGACTTGTCAATTCTTGCTACTCCTTTCAACTCCATGCCACTTACACAGTGTTTCATCTTGTTTAAGTCTTGGCAATTTATGTGTGCAAGCCTCCTGTGCCAAAGTTCACTGTCATCGCACGCTGCAAGCATACATTTTTCAACTTTCATGTTTACTTTATACACACCTCCAACTAGAGTTGCTGTAGCCACCAAGTCGTTATTCCTACTGTATATCGAACAACCTTCTTGGTTAAATGACACTCTATTTCCTTTAGCAATCAGTTCACTCACTGACAAAAGATTTGTCGTCAGATTAGGCACGCACAAAACACCATAAACAGTTATATTGTTCTGTGTGTCTTTTACACTTGTAGAAATGTCCATATCGCCTAAACATTTCACTGCTAATTTTTCGTGGTTAGCAACAGTAATTTCTTCAATGTCTGGTTTTCTCTTGTTGTATAATGCATTTTCATTGGGAGACATATGCCTACTCGCACCAGAGTCCAAATAAAAATCATTCTTATTGTATTTTCCGCTTAAAAATACAGCACTGAAAGCATATTTCGAAGAATTCGACGAAGAAACACTTAAATTTGGGCATTTCGACTTAAAATGTCCAGGTTGTTTACATTTGAAACAAATTATTTTACTTCTGTCAATTTGGCGTCTGTCAGAATCACGCCGGTCATCCACAGATTGATTACTACTGTTAATTGACACTTTTCTGTTAGAATTACTGCCACCTCTTGACTGATTTCTGAAGTTACTACCGCTTGCTGCAAAGGCACCTGCTTTGCCGACACTGCCAGAGTTTTCTTCTTGCATATCAAGCAATTTACTTTTGATGGTATCTGTTGTGATTGCGATTCCTGCATGCTCGATCGCCATCAACATGGGGGCGTACTTGTCTGGTAAACCGGCCAGCAGAAGGGAACCTACCCATTCTTCGCTTATATCAAACTTGGTTTTCCTTAACTTCTGTGATGTTTCAATCACTTGATTCACGTACGACTCCATATTTTCACAACTACTCAATCTCAAGGATATTAAATGTCGCAAAAGCCCTATTTTTCTGGTAAATCCCACATCTTCATAGAGTGATTGGATCTTTTTCATAGCTTCATTGCATGTGGCCGCGTCTTTAACATGCACATATAAGGAAGGATCTAATGTCAACACGAACTTCGCTTTAGCTTTTGCCAGAAGTACACTGTCTGTCTCGGTGCCTTCCAAACATTTAGAAAGTCCCTCGAGTACAAAAACGTTTTCTACCGCAAAGCACCATTCGTCGTAGTTTTCTCGACCAACTAGCTTCGGAACGCTTGCCAAATAGTTGACGGCCATCTTGTGAAAAAAGGAACGCCACCGATACCCGATTACGACGCAAGAAAAACGACGTTTTTCTCTTCCCTTTCACTCCGTAACTACCGAAATTCCGTAAACTTGCCGTAACTACCGAAACTCGCGTTTTGGGCGGGTGTCTGGGCCCATAACCTATTAGATTTTAGGATAAATAAAACACCAAAACGACCTATTTTGTACTCGATACAACACACACCATCTTTTATTTCAGACTATTTTTTATTACCCATAATTCCCATACACAGTTCCCATATGACATTCTCATCTACTTCCGCTAGGGTGCCGGTAAATTTAAATTTTTGATACAATATTCCAACATAAAATAGATCATTAATTTTTGGTACCCCTGTATAAATTTAAGGAAACTATAACATTTTTCAGTAAAGTTTATTTCTTTACCTTTAAACTCAGCACAAGAATTAATTCTGAAAAGTAATGTACAGGGTGTTAATAATCAATTCTCTTGTAGCATGCATATTTAAATATAATAATAAATATATTTATATTTATATATAATAAATATTTAAATATAATATAATGCATATTTAAATCTAAAAAAATATCTTTAAATATCTCAAAAACCAATGATTTTAAACATATTTAACCCCTATAATAAATGCCTTTTTTTTGGGCCCAAGAATCCAAGAATGAAATAAAATACCGGGTGTTCCATAAGAAAATTTATAACTTTGGTATGAATCTTAGTTCTGAAACACCCTGTATATTTCAAAATAATTTTACATTGTGCACATTGCCACCCCACATATACCCATAAAATATTTTGTTTCTACATCTTTCTGTTTTCGTATAATCAACCGAGGCGAATGAGGTGCGCCACCCTGTATAACTTACCCAGAAATTGGTTTAGTTTTTCTGCCATATCTCTACTAGGAATTATATCAACATCAGTTAGGAAAACATATTTGCCATGGCAATTCTTTCGTGCTAGATTTCTTACTAAATTTTGTGGGTAGGGCAACTTGTATCTCCAATGGTTTACCCGCTAAAAACAAGTATACAGACATACAAATTAAAAAAAAAATCTTATTAGACATATTTACAAACAACTTTCTGAATTGCGTCAACTAGTCTACAATTTCACTGATTGAAGTTCAGTATAGGCTTGATACATTCTCCGCCGGTGCTGCCACCATCGGAGAATATCGTAAACAACTGGTATATACAAATACACGGGTTCAAATAGTAAACATACGAAAAAAATATAATATAGTCTGTCAATTATACGAGGGAATACAAAATGTTGATATTTTAATGAAACTTCGAAACACCCTGTGGAATATGTTAACAAAGCAAGGAATTTAAAAATCAGTCATCTAGGTACGTCTTTTCTCGATAGTTTGTTTTTGGGTTCATCTCAATAGCTTTATTTTTATTGGAGACATTCGCTTTTGCATAAGACATCAACAATCTACAGCAATTTTAGTACTGATTTTGGGTCCCCATCAAGACACTTATTAAATAGTGTTTAATGTTTTTGTAATATCACTGTCATTAAAAAGTCATATTATTATGGTTGATTGGCGTTTACTCTAGATTTTTTTTCAGTTACTTTGAGGTTTGTATACTACAGTAGTACTACTAGTGGAGATGGTTTTAAGTTCTGAAGTATTGGATATTGCTGCTTTAATTGATCATGGTAGAGATCAATTTTTGGTCTTAAAACCATGGTCTTGTAGCTGCTAGTGAAATAATTACTCAACCCCAACAGACATTAATAATATGATTTTTCGAAGACAAAGACATTACTTGGACAATACATAAATCATAAACTCTATTTTATTGGTCTGTTGACTAGGACCAAAAGCAATGGCATGATTTTAATGTAAAAATACGACAAATGTTAGTGTCTTCTTCAAAAGCGAATATCTCCAGAAAAAATAAACCTGTTGGAATGGAGAATCAAAAAACAAACTATAGAGATAAGTAAGCAACAAACTATAGAGAAAAGATGCACAAAAAGATGATAAAATGATTCTTAAAGTCTTTGCTTTGTTAACTTACTCCACAGGGTATTTCGAACTTTTACCATAATATCAACATTTTGTTTTCCCTCGTATAATTGGCAGATGGCAACTTTCGTTTTAATTTCGAAGGAAATACTAAAAAGTCAAATAATTTAGCTACAAATTGCTTAAAAAATCATCAAAATCGGTCGATTAGAATATATAAAAGAATATATTAAACTTAACTATAAGAAAAAGAATATATAAAACTTTAAAATACATGAAAATTTTAAGGTGCCCGTTTTTCGCGCCGGTGATTATAGATTTCTCTTCAAATTTTAATTAAATTAATTTCTCGTAAAATTTTAAATTTCGCATTATTCATTGTGTATATATTTATACCACTATTACAAAAAATAAAATATGACATGGTTAACTTGATTTTACAATGGAATACAGCTCAAGTAGTACAACTATGAGCTTTTTTTTAGACAAACAAAAACTAACTGTTACCTAATAGACCGAGAGCTGGCTACATAAAAAACCTTATCATCGTTACATAGCTAATTTTTTGTGTGAAGTATTCTTTTGTGTAGCCATTGTGAAATAGTCATGTCTGCCAGGGTGAAATTTTGACACTAAAAATATTATTTCGAAAGGGTGAAATTTTGACACTAAAAATATTATAAGGTAGACGAGTTATAATTGCCAAATACCTTTTATTTATTATTAGGAAACGTGTAAAATTGTTATTAGGAAACGTGTAAAACGTCTGACATTTTTCACGTGGCTGAAATGCCGGCAGACAACGCGAAAGAGGCATAGAATTTTGACAAAAGAAAATCATCGCATACATGCATGTCGGTTGGTGGAATGTCATGTTTATTCCTAATTAATTTAAAAAGCCGTATGCAAAAGGGCAGACGAAAAAAATCGTTATTGAAATAATAAAAAAAAATATTTATAATATAATCGTATATTATATGATTTAACTATACTTAAATGGATGAGGCGGCCAGCGTTCCCTGAATAAAACGCTAGAGTAATATCGCGCTTTTGAAAACTGTCTGCAGCTGATTGAGCCACGATCTTTTTGTCTGCCCTTTTGCATACGGCTTTTAAAATAAATAAATATGACATTTCACCAATCGGCATACAAATATGCCATAATTTTTTTCATTCTTCAAATTTCATTTTTTAATAATTTTTAAAATTTCATGCCTCTTTCGCGTTGTCTGTAGACATTTTAGCGACTAGAAAAATGTCTGCCAACAATTTTCCACGTTTCTTAATAATAAATAAAAGCTATTTTCGCAATTATAACTCATGTATCTTATAATATTTTTGGTGTCAAAATTTCACCCTTTTCATTGGCCGCCCCCGCTTTAAGCGCTGGCAGACATGACTATTTCATAATGGCTACATAAAAGGATACTTCACACAAAAAATTAGCCATGTAATGATGATAAGATTTTTTATGTAGCCAGCTCTTAGACTATAATTTCACCTGTCATAAATATTATTTTGAATATTGGAAAGACTAGCTTTGAATGACCAAAATCGATATACTTACTATTTTATTTGATTCTCTCAATAAATGATTCAAAACTCCCATTGGATTATCGCATTCCAATTTCTGTAGTCTTTCCTCATCTATGAAAAACTTCTTCGGTCTTTTATCCTCTATCATTGCTAAATGGAAGTTCACCTTTTCTCTAATCTTCAAATTACACTTTCTCAAATAAAGAATATATAAGAGGAGAAGGTTCAACTCTTTTTCCGTGGCAGCAAAGGTTGCTACAGATATCGGTCCTCCTTTTAAAATAATATTGAAAATATTACATTTTTTTAGCTAAAGTGTCGCTAGCGAGAGAATGGAAGGTTTCGATAGACGTCCAGAAATTGACAGAAAATAGTACTACACTTACGTGCATAGAAATCGGCCCAAAGCAAACTTTTGAAGTTAACTATTAATTTTTTAGAATATATTTGTCATATTAAGAAAAAATATATACTATTTGAAAGACAATTTCATATTCTTTGAAAAGAGTTTAGAGATATTAATTTGTATTTCGGTTTCTTCGGACTAAAATTATTAATTTAATGCATGAAACAAATTATCGTTTTTTATTACTAAGATGTACGTCATTATTTAATTTATTTATATATTGACAATTAACTAAAATAAATTTTCTATAATGGGTATGATCCCCTCTTGCTCTTACTACATCTCTCATACAATTTGGCATAGATTCAATCAAGTTTGATATTGTTTTTTGCGGGATGTTAAGCCACTCTTCTTCTACTCCGCGAGCTCTGGGATAGAAGTTGGAGCTCTTCTTTTAGCACGAATTCTTCGTTTTAGCTCATCCCATAAATGTTCTATCGTGTTTAAGTCCGGATTGCATGCTGGCCATTCCATAACACGAAAACCGACTTCTGAAATGTAATCGTGTACGATTCTAGATTAGGTTAGGTTAGTTGTGCCTTCGCATTGTCATGCATAAAAGTGAATTTGTTTCCAATGTAGTCGACGCAAGATACGACATAAACTGCTAAAATCTCCTCAATATACCTAGCACCAGTTAAACCTCTTCTCCCGTGCTGACGGTCGTCCCAACGGATGAAAACTGGGTCGATTCGCGCAGTCATAGAAATTGTACCCCTGATCATGCAGAAACCACCTCCATAAGCAATCCGCTTCTCAATGCAGCATTCTGCGAATCGCTCATCTGGCCTCTGCTACACTTTTCTTCTTCGGTCGCTACCATAGAGGCATATTCTGGTCTCATCTGAGAATAAAACACATTTCCATTGTTCTAGTGTCCAATTCAGATGTTCCGTGCAAAAGGTAGGCGTGTTTGACGATGAGCTGGGGTAAGTGTTGGACCAATTGCGGGTGTTTTGGGGGTCATGTTACTTTCCTTCAATCTTCGTCGCACTGTCCACTGACTAACAGTTACTCCTCGTGTTTCACGGAGCTGTTATTGCACCTGAATAGCCTTAAGATGCCGATTTCTTAATATTGTTGACACAATAATGCGGTCATCACGATCCGTTGTATATCTCTTTCTACTAGTTTCAGGTCGCCTACGAAAGGACCGAGTCTCCTCATACCGTTCACACACTCTTCGAACCGCTCCGCGAGTCATATGCAGTTGCCGAGCTACAGCTCTCTGTTTAATTCCATTTTCGATTAAAGGGATTACTTTGGCAGCTTTTTTCCGTGATGTATGCATTAAATTGAAACACTAATAAAACAATGAAACACAACAAATCAAACAACGAAAGAACAATGTGCACATTTCGATTACAAAGTAACAGTAAAGTAGTAATGGCAATATTTGATAAGTTTTTTATTCTTATTGTCACCACAACATAAATGCCTTTCATTTGTTTACTCGTTGCAACGCATATAAACGACAAGTACTTTGGATAAATTTATACTCATATCAAAGCATGTTAAATTGTCTTTGAAACAACTCATATTTTTGTCTTCGTCTGATAAATAGATCCTAACAGACACAGTTAAAGTCAAAAGTTCAGAGTGGGCCGATTTCTATGCACGCAAGTTTATATTACTCAATGATTAAACAATACAAGGACTAATAAAGCCCGAGACCATATTGTTACCGTACCTCCAAACAGCGCGTACAAATTTTCTTAACATAGCTGCTTGAAGAGATATTTATATTTTTTAACCGTTTTTAACTAATTTAAGAAAAACTGCATCTATTTTTAAATTAAAACTGAACAGGCAACAAGGCAAAATCAGTTAGTAAATGCCAACATACCTTAAGTTGTCAACTTATAATTTTGTCAATGTCAAATTAAATTTACTAAATTTTAGGCTACTGGCTATTGTCGAATTTGAACAAGTTTTGAATTACTAAAATGCATATCTGGCAGACTAATGTTAGGTATCGTAAAATAGTATCGTAGACAGCACAACAAATTGAATTCAAACGTAGGTTGACAACTTAAGGTATGTTGACATTTGCCTAGTTTTGCGTTGTTACCTGTGCAGATTTAATTTAAAAATAAATGCAGTTTTTCTTAAATTCGTTAAAAACGGCTGTAACAAAATTGTCTAACTTTGACATGTGTATTCAGCATATGCAGACTTTTGATAAACCTATTTTCGATATCGCTGTAAAATCAATAGAAGAGGTAAAATTCGGACAGTTCAAAATTTGCATGCGATTTTTCAACGACGATGCACCCGGTATATACTTAGTTGTTATTTATTATCTATAATAAAACGAGTGTAAAATTAATACATCGGCTAATTTACATTTAATAGAATGAAAATCAAATTACCGTGAAACATTGATAGCTTTTCGTATGTATGAAATATTGCATATTTAATAAGTTCTGACAAATTCCCATATTGATTAAATTAAACTTTAAAATAGGACGTGATCGATACTATTGTAAACGGAAATTTTAAAGAGGATAATCATGTCTGTCCTAACTAACAATTTTTCATTAAAAAAATTATGGAGATTAATTTAACTATAAGAATATTTATAATTTAATTAAACTACAAAAATTATTACTTTAAAATCTTGATACAAAAAAAATATCAACCATCAATGATCGATCAAAAATGATACTTAAAATCACAAGTAATTATTGTACTTGTGATTTTAATGTACAGGGCGGTCCGAACTGTATTTCGGAAACTTCGGCAGCATATTCTGCAGATAAAAATAAGTAAAAAGTTCCTATAAATCTATATCCTAAAATGCTTAGTTTCGGAGATACAGGGTGTAGAAGTTTCATTTGTATTTCGATTTTTTCTAAATAATTTTTGAAGCAACAGCAATATTTGAATGAAAATTGTTGTCTGGGAGTTTCTTGAAACGAGAAATCTGATTTTGAGTTAAAGTTAGTAAGTACGTTCGTCTAGAATTTCGTTTTATCCGGAATCGGCATTTAAATGTTATTTGCAAAAATCTATATTCAAATTAGTAAAATTTATAATACGGTCCAGAAAAAGATTCATAATTAGGATTTTCAACACTTAAAAAAGTTAAGATGTTCAAATAGATTTTTTTTTGGAAATCTCTGCACTGTGTTAAGTACATTCACAACAGACCTATCCTAAACCGTATAACTCAGTTCAAAGAACAATTCAGATATTTGAAACAAATGCACGGCATTAAGCAAATGTAAGCGTGAAGATAAAAAAAAATAAACAGAGAGAAAACCTTAAGAGAAAACAATGCATTCAATATTCTTCTTATGCTGAAGAAAATAAAACATTAGCTCCCGGCTGCTTAGGGAGGCAATAGGAAAATGTCACATCTCTATTCTTAGGGCTTTATAAGTTGTAGAAGATCGGGAGATCTGGTTAGTAATGGATGGTTGTCGTACACATTCCTTTATGATTACAGAATATTTGCAGGATACGTTCAAAGGAAATGTAATAGGGCTATATTCAAAGACATTATAAAAATAGACCGAACATCTTATTCATAAATGCTCGTTGGTAGTGTATCAAACATTCCAATGTGTCAAACAAGGACAGAAGAGACAGAGAAGTCTAAAATTTCCGACCCCGGCAACTAGGCGCATTTGGATTGTTCTAATGGCCAGTGGCGTTTCGTTTTTTGGAACGAATTTAATTAGTAAAGTAAAAGTAAAGTAATTAGTAAAATTTTTACTCCATACTAATATACTACATTAACACTTTTTCGTTAGATGAGTTTTGTTATAAGGTCTAATATAATAATATAATTAATATCCAACATATACTTATGTTGAAACGTTAGTAGATAGTTTTCGAAAATCGCTCCAACGTCGATATTCAATTTAAACTTTCAGTTACTTCTATATAAACACTCAGTTACTTTTGAATACTTACAGGGTGACTCAGGCTTCCGAAACAGTTCTATATTAAATCTGGATTGTTTAGCAAAAGTATACGAGACATCGTTTATTTTATTACTCTGGCATATAGCCCCATACCGGGTGTTGCATCGTCTGACGGGACATAGGAAATTCCATGTAAATTTTAATGGGGTCAATTATTGGCTTCCCTAATTATTTTAGAGAATAATTCTATTTAGGTTTATTGAAGAGCACTAAAACCCACATTCAAAAGAATAACTTTAGATATTTTTCTTTTCTTATGGCCCTGTATTTACTTATGAGCACCAGTCAAGGTAAAAGATAACTGTCAAATGAAGTTTTCATTTCAGAAATTTACCTATTTAGTGCTTTATTATTATTGAAAACACATTCCTACATCGGAAATCTTAAAGATGTATTTATAAATACAAATTAATATGAATTAAAGTAAAATAAAGTAATCAATTACAAGGTTAATTATAGTATTATTACAATATTCATAAACTTATTAATTTACGTACTATTAAATTGTTAGAACTTTAGGATTTAAGAAGATGTTCAAATATTCCTCCATCGACTGCTAGACAATAACCCAGGCGATCATAAAATTCTCTTCTTACATTCGCTAGTTGGTAAACTGAAATTTTATTGCATTCGGCAGAAATAGCATTTTTTAACTCGTCTAGATTTGGGTATTTTTTATCCTTGTATATCCTGTTTTTTAAATGGCCCCAGAGAAAGAAATCATTTGGCGAAATATCAGGAGACCTTGCTGGCCAATTTACTATATGATTTAGGCCAATAACGTTTCCGTTAAAACTATTGTCTAAATATTCCCGAACAGCCAGGGTACTATGTGCCGGGCAGCCATCCATTTGGTACCAAACTGCCTGATTTTCCCTAGCGGCATCATGTAAAGCAGGTAAAATATGATTTTCGAGTACTTCCAAATAATATTC